AAAATAACAACTAGACTACTTTACTAAAATGCCACATCTCTTTTTAGTCTAGTTTAAAATAGTATATTATATAACCAAAAAGGCAAATTAACAATACTTAATTTAAAATTAAAGTATAGTTTTAAACAAAAATAAAAGTTATATACTGTATAAAACTTTAATTATATAAATAACTTTTTAAAGTTTTAAATAATTTTATTTAAATAAATAATAATTATCACAAAAAAATATTTAAAAAATCTAAAAAATTTATAATACTGTACAGTTTATACAGTAGATATACGTATATACAGTATATACAACTTTACAGTTTAAAAATAAATTATTTACTATATATAGTATACTATATATACTATATACAGTATAATACAATATAAAGCAAACTAGTTAAATTAAGTAATAATTTAGTTAAATCAAAGATTTAACAATTAACCGGTTTGTACCAACCCTAATTACCTTTAAAATATCTATATTGTATAAAGTTTAAATCTATATTTGTTTTTAAAAGTTTAAAAATTTTATACAGTATAACATTTGGAAATGTTAGTTCATTTAACCGAGTATAATAGCTTACTATTCGGATGATTAGATGCACATGATTTATACTAATAAACGAAATCGCTACACATTGTTTAACGCGCTTTTGTTCCATGCTAATTATGAAGTTAATATGTTAGATTACATGTGTAAATGCGATGGTAAAGAAGATAGCACGTATGATTAAATGTTTAAAACAGCCAATCAGTGCCATAAAATGTTACACGTATATCAGCCCCGCAAATTCGTGGAACTATAAATAATACGTCTAATCAGTACATATGATCATCCTCATAAAGCAATTTTCGACTTTTTAAAGCGGCCACGAAAGCTTCGTCTTGCTATTTAAAATGCCAATGTCAAAGGCTGTGAACGGTACACTGCCAGGTCCTAGCAACGCGCAAAAAGGAAAGGCAAAAATGACCCAGGCAAATAGCCCGATGTCCTCATTGGTGAACAATGTTCGTCGGAACGGCAATTCACCGCAACGTCCGCTACCAGATCATGACGAACGTTTTGACCATGTAACTTATATAGGAAAGAATCGGATAGATACCTATCAGATAAAGCAACAACTAACAGAATTTTTGGGTGATAATGCTCATCCCTATTGGGATGCTTTCAAAAAGTTTATTTA